ATATATATATATATATATATATATATATCCAAGGATCGATAATCGCGCTCATGAAATCTGTTCAGAGGATTGGTTGTCTGGGTAGCTTAGTTGATAGTGTATCTGGGCGTAAACCACGAGGCCAGGATTCGAATACCGGTTGAGGCAACCAATTCCTTGAGCAAATTTAAAAATTCAGAATGTTCAACAATAATGCAGGAAAATAACATTTAAATAAAACATTATGTTAAGTTTTAGAAAAATTTGGAAAACATTCGAGAGATTGTACGTAAAGTAGCCCTAAAATGAAAATAATCGTTTCTAAAACAAGGTTCCGTAACATCTATCAGATCGATCGGGGAATATCAATTTTGGTGAAAACCCTGCTAACGGTTTAGCATCGAGCGTTGTTCACAGACAGACCAAAAATCAATTTTTCAGTATGAAGAACTTGTAAAATGTGATTTGAGTTGCACAACGCGTTAGAGGAAGCAATTTGCCACATATAAAAACAATAATTATCGTCTTTTTTTTATATCAGAGACTTATAATAAGGGATTTTCCGAGAAAAATGTTGGTTTTCCCCTTAGATTTACAATACTTCATATTGAGCTGCAGACGAGAAAGTAAAGAGGAAATTTTTCAGTAAGATACTAGTTAATTTCCAAGTGGATGTTCCGGAACCCCCGATGAGGCCAAGAACATAGGGATATTACGGATAACTACTTGTGGTTGGGTCATCCCACAACCACTGATAAACAACCATGCTTAACTCACATCGTGTCGAACCGATCTCGATGTTGCACTCACGCCTTCAGCAATTGCTTTAGATGCCCGTGTCGGCTGAAGAAGTAATGTTAATCTTTCTGGGCACGCTGTATTGTATGAGGCGGCCGCAAAGTAAGGGCGTGGCGGTTCCTCTCGATCGCCTGTGACAGGCGGCGCCACCGCCACCCAATCTGCCGCCGATGCATTCAGCGATGGCCGCTATTTGCATAACACAAATCTGCTCCCGACAAGTAGAAGAACATGGGCGTGTAGTCAGCGCTGCCCCACCTCGCGCCGCGCCTTGCAGGGGAGATAGAACGATAGCGCTTGCGTCCACGCGCGGCCCGGCCACTGCCGCCCACGCTTCAGTCCACCCAGACGCACAGTCTGTGTAGCATTTGTATTACAAACTCAGGAAGCCATATCGGTTTTCACACTCTATCAAAGCTAAAATATCAATAAATATTACTGTTTAAAAGAACATATTCCCGAATCCTCAAATTAAGATTGGTTTCAATCTGTGTTGACCATGCACAGCATATTGTGAGACAAAGTTTCCAAATTCGTGTACAAGAATGAAATCTCTATATTCTTATTATATTTTTTCAGTAAAGGGGCGCTCTTCTCCTGGTAAAGAAAATAAGTTTTTCGAGTAAAATTCGACAAAATACAATACTTGATATAATTCTAACCATTTTTCGAACAATGATTTGTTTTAAATCGTGCTCAATATATGAATTTGAAAAATTTCTATAGATAATTGAAGAACATTAATTGCAAGCATTTTCCCCGAATTACTGTAATCAAAATTCCGCCATAATTTTCAACAAACCTGTCACCAGTTCAAAATTATATTTTACGCAAAGAAAAGAATCAGATGGCACATTGCACTTTGCCCCCTTTTGCAGCTCTTAAGTTATCCCTTTAATGATGTCTTGGTGGGACGTGTACCTGAGCCGCATCACGCGCGCTAATCTGATGACGTGCGCCAGACCCCGTCTAGGATCGCGGCGGCGCCGAGGCAACCGCTCGCTTGACGAGTGGGCACGGGGGACGGGGCTGCGCAGCGAGAGGCCAGCCATTATGTCCGTGGGAGCTCGGCGCGTGCCTCTGGCGGACAGTATCGCGGCATCACCCGCAGCGCGCTACCGCTGACAGCTCTCGCCCACCTTGCACGTCTCCTCGCCTCACCTGGCGCTCTTTGCTGCTTCGCCCCTTCCAAAGCATCGCTCGCCTTCCCCTGCCCCCTCCACCAAGCCGGCGCCGCCCCACACCGCCTCGTTCTGCCAAGGCGACTCCTTTCCGCTCCATCGCCGTGCATTTCTTCCCGTCTGGAACCTTTCCAGGGCTAATTTTCAAAGACATCAAAGGTTCCATCTTCAAAGGTTACCATTCGTATACTACGTACGGTACTACTCAAATATAAGTATTTATATATATATATATATATATATATATATATATATATATATATATATATATATATATATTTAAATTTGCCCTTTATGATTCGATCAACGGTTTCTTAACATCTTACTCCCCTACGAGAATCATCTAGATGACACAGTCCACCTTCTGTTGCAGGCGTACCCCAAGTACAGCTTCAACTACGGCGTGCACGACGCGCACACCGGGGACGTGAAGAACCAGTGGGAGGAGCGCGACGGCGACGTGGTGAAGGGCGAGTACAGCCTGGTGGAGCCCGACGGCAGCGTGCGCACCGTCACCTACACCGCCGACGCTCACAACGGCTTCAACGCAGTCGTGCACCGCACCGGCCCCAACGTACACCCGGCGCCTGCCCCCGCAATTGTCAAAGCGCCCGTCGCCTTCGCCGCGCCCGCCTACTCGCACGGTTACCACTAAGCCCCATCGCACACGCCGCATCTCTCCGCCCACGCAGTAATTCGATTGAAGACGTTCTAAGTTGGCAGCTCCGCTCGCCCACTCGAGGTGCTCCGACAGGTTCATTCGCCAGCCCCTGCGCCCACCCCTTCATTATTCGTCGGGCTAGTGCAATACTCCATATTTCGCTGCTTCCTTGGAAATAGCATCTCTCTCTCTCTCTCTCTCTCTCTCTCTCTCTCTCTCTCTCTCTCTCTCGCTTGCTCGCTCGCTCTCGTGCGCGCTGAAACGCCGTCGTCGTCCCACAATTTCTAGCAGCGAAATCTAGAACGTACATTCATTCGCTGGCGCTTTTCTTTAGGTTGGGGGTAGTTTAGTTCATTTCATCACTTCGTTGCGTTTTCACCATTTCACTTTCATATTTGTTCGTCGTGATGTCTCATCTATCATCATTTTGCGCCATTCTCAAAGTCTGCGGAGTTGTGGCGAGAAAACGGAAGATATTCCATCCTCGTACCTTCAGGCTACCTGGGATCAGTACAAATACCTGTATTCTACTCTTGACCATCACTCACCCAGGCCAGCTAGCAGCGCAGCACTGGTTCTTTTGGACTCCCATTCTACATTGATCGTTCATCACACATCACCATCATCGCCTTCGTTGCCTGCCGACGATTCCTCTCGCGGTCTCACCCCACCTCAAGACACGCCGCAAGAATGATTTCTTTAATATGAATTACTGATTCATTGATCTTCAACTGGTCAATCTCATTAGTCATATCAAAGCTTCATGGTAAACGTATAAGATTTGAAATCTTGTATTATTCATTATAGTACTTGTTAATTGCATTATTTAAGCAATGAAATATTCAACTTTTGTACATAATGCTCATCATGCCTTTTTGTATTCTCATGCCATTTTCTACAAAAATATTTTTTCTGCAATAAAATGTACTTTGTAAACAGTTGGTTTTATGTCTATAGAGTTATTTTCTCTACCTGAGTTCCAAAATATGATACTTGCTATCAAGTTCTGTCCTGTCTAATTATCCGAGGATAACATGAAAAAGTAGGATTTATCATTACTCGGATAAAACGATCGGTTTCGGTTGATGTTAATACTAAAATTGCAATGCACCAGTTATCAAATGACTTACGATATTCTTTTTATAATTTTAAAATTGGTTGATTTTTCAAATTAATGCACATAGTATTGTAGGCTAGCACGTTTTCATTTTTGTTGTTAA